GCGCCGCAGCTCACTAGGCTAATCCTCCACCTTGCGGCGCCGGCACACCGGGTTCTGGTCCTGGTCGGGGCACCGGATTTTGTTCTGGTTGCCCCTCTTCCAGGCCAGCTGCCTGCTGTGGCCCGGGAGTGCAGTGGAGGATGGCCCAAGTGCTTGGGCCCTGCACCCCATGGGAGACCAGGAGAAGTACCTGGCTCCTGCCATCGGATCAGCGCAGAGCGCAGGCTGCAGCGCGCCAGCAACGGCGGCCATTGGAGGGTGAACCAAAGGCAAAGTAAGACCTTTCTCTCTGTCTGTCTCTCTCACTGTCCACTCTGCCTGTCAAAAAAAAAAAAAAATGAAAATTACCTTGTCTTGGTGTAGATTTCTTGGCCTGATTCTACTGGAAGACTTCTGGGCAATATGCATCTGGATGTCTATTTCCTCCCCAGATTGGGGAAGTTTTCCGCCAGTTTTTAAAATTGACTGTGCTTTTTTCTCTCTTCACCTTCTACGGCTCTCATAATGCATACACTGTTTTGTTTAATGGTGTCCCATCAGTCCACAGGTTTTTCTGTTTTTTTTCTTTTCTTTTTATCACACTCTTCAATGCTCTTTAACTTTTTGATTTTCTGATTGAACAATTTCAAATGACCTGTTATATTACTGTCTTCTGTTTGATCAAGTCTGCTACTGAAATTCTCTACTGACATATTTTTAGTTAGTTTGTTGTATTGTTTGGTTCAAGCATTTGTTTTCAAAAGTTTCTATTTCTATAACTTCAAATTTTAATTTTTTTTAATCTAACTTAATTGTCCCTCTGTGTTCCCTTTTAGTTCATGGAGCTTTAAGAATATTGTTTTAAATTCATTGTCAAGAAGTTTGTTTTTTAAAAAAAAGATTTATTTATTTATTTGAAAGTCAGAGTTACACAGAGAGAAGGAGAGGCAGAGAAAGAGAGAGGTCTTCCATCCTCATGTTCACTTCCCAATTGGCCACCAGGGCCAGAGCTGAGCTGATCCAAAGCCAGGAGCCAGGAGCTGCTTCTGGGTCTCCCTGGTGAGTCCAGGGGCCCAAGGACTTGGGCCATCTTCTCCTGCCCTCCCGGGCCATAGCAGAGAGCTGGATCAGAAGTGGAGAACATGGGACTCTAACCGGCATCCATATGGGATGCCAGCACTGCAGGCAGCAGCTTTACCTGCTGTATCATAGTGCTGGCCTCTGTCAAGTAGTTTGTAAATCTCTATTTTTTAGGGTTGGTTACTTGAGTTTCATTAGTTTCCTTTGATGGTATCATTTTCCTGATTCCTCATGATCTTTATAGATGTTTATCCTAAGTCTCTCTTTCCCCCAGCTGGAGAAATTTCAGGTCAAAATGTGCTTCTTACCAGGTGCTATAATGGGTTTGGGAAGGAGTGACATAGATGTGAAAAATTATTCTCCTTTTTAATATGTTTCCTCCCACATTTTGCGCACTACTGGAGTGCTATAATATCTTCCCTGGTTTCCAGAAGTATCATGAAAGTAATCTCATCCAGGGATAGTTTGCTAAATTGTTTCTCTGGGAGTCCAAAACTTATGACCTTCTTTCATCTTGCTTACATCATCCCTCTATCAATAATGTTTTTGTGTATCTCTCTAAAGAAATTTCTTAGTGGTTGTTCTTGATTTATATATCAGTCAACTTATGTCACAACTGACTAATGTCACTAATATACAAAATCAAATGAAGCATAGAAACCTTACCTGCCTTAATATCTTTCAATTCTCCCTTAAGTAGTATTCTATATATTTTCTTAAGTAGTATTCTATATATTTTCAGAACTGTATTAGTGTTATGAGTTTTGCTTAAACCATTTAATACAATTTGGAACACACAAGAGGAAGAATGTCTATTTAATTTTTTAACTTTTTACTTACCATTCTGTTCTTCTTTCCTAGTGTTCCAAATCTTATATTATCATTTCTTTCTTTACAAAAAAAAATGTTCTTTAGCCATTACTATAGGATAACTACTAGGTGCAAATTCTTCTGCGTTCTCTCCATTTGAGAATATATTAATTCTTTTTCATTTCTGAAGGCTATTTTTATTGCCAATAGAATTTTGTGCTGAATAGTACTTTCCTTTCAGCACTTGAAACAATTTTTGGCATTTCTTTATATCCTCTACAGTTTTTGAATGAGAAATTTGCTGCAGTTCTCAAGTTCTTACTTTTCATTTATAGGTAAGTTACTTTTTTCTGTCAGCTTTCAATTTTTTATGTGTATTTAGTTTTCAGAAGTGTAATTATGTTTTTTGGCACAGAGCCTATTTGGGTCTATCTATGGTTTGCACAGTTTGTTGAATCTGCAAATTTGTGTGTCTTGTAAAAGTTGGTAGATGTTTTCAGCCATTACTCCTTACTCAAGTACTTTTTGAACACTACCCTCTGCTTTCTCTCCTGTTAAATCTCTAAAGGTAGATGGTAGATATAATGGTAGATATTTTTTAGTTCCTTTCCATCTATTACATTGGAACAAATGGGTGCTAAGTGCTTAAACTAAAAATCTCTCTTGAATTACCAATCCTGTATTACATAATCAATTTTTTTACTAAATGACCAAAAGTGCTGCTTTCCAACAATCTTTCTTTCTTATTAATAGATAATTGGTTTTGTTTAATAGTAAATATGTCCACTTAAAAACAATCATCATACAAGATCCCCTTATATCTAGTGGTAGCCATCTGAGTTATTTCTAGTGATGGAAGTCTTTCAAGTAAGACATTTGCAAGAATCATTGTTTTCCTTATACAAAATGGACAATCTATGCTGACATGTGTTTTTGTTCTCCTCAATTCTCTTCTTCCTGGCCTAAGTACATACTTGATGTGAAAACCTCTTTAGCTGTGGGAGCGAGGGAAGGAGCATGTCCACTTGCTAAAGAAGGCAAAGGAAGAGGCTAGAATAAACCTTGGTCCTTCCTGATTTCCTTGAGCAGCCACAGAGAAGAACTATCTAACTCTTAGCTTCTTGCTACATGATAAAAATAAAATATTTAGTTAAGTTTCTGTTGCATGTAGACAATATATAATTAGCATATAACACCAGCTCTTTGCACAGGTCACACCCATCTTTAAAAAGCATATCTCCTTCTTACACTTAGGGGTAAATAAGCTCTTCAAATTTCAAAAGTCATTCTGATTTCATACAGTTAAGAAGAATCTACTTGTCTCTCACTTTCTTCAAACTACAAATATTATCCAACTAGACTCCCAAAAAACAAAGGTCTAGAAATCGTTTAATATATCATTAGGGACAAACAGGATCCTTCTGGATATTTTTCTCTACAGGACAAAATCTTTCATAACACTCTTACATTTGTTTACTACAATAAGCATATACTTCTTTAATGTACATATCCATATGCTCCTTATAAAAGAATCATAATTATTAAAATAACTGAACATACCCTAATAATAAGGATAAATATCATTTTCAATTTTCTGATAATGGCTGAAATATACATTTCAGGCATTACTAAATTTCTATGACCATTGATTCATATCTATTCTTCTCAGGAGTTTACTTATAGCACTATAAATTAATAAAACATTTAAATTATCAAAGAATAGTCAAGGAAACATTTCTTATAACATATCCTAGTGAATAAAACTTTACATGTAAACTAAACAACTGTTATTAAAATAGATTTACTTAAATGTCTACAACTCGCAAAAATCGTGCCAATATTTGGAACGCCTATGTCTCTATAAGGCTCATTTCTTTTGTGTTCTCTCCCAATCATACTTTCTCCACAGTTTTTTTCTTCAACTATTCCTTGATTTCTGATATTTTCAGTCTTTCTTTTTAATTAAGATTTTTCCTTGTCATAAAACATGCTGCAGTATAATCTTACTTTTAATAATTTTCCATGAATCCTATTTCTTACAATTAAGGCTTTATCTTTCCTCCTCCCGTCCAAAATTTACTCCAAAACTATTCCGTATTTGGTAATCACATATTAATCCATTATAATTTTATGTCCAGTAGCAAAAAGATATTGAAATTCCAAACATGCAATAACGTCATCATCAAAAAGCCTACAATTATCTGACTCGGTGCCAATTTTCTTTCACTCTTTGACCATTTTTAATGATTTTTTTTCTTCTTAATCTTAGTAACAATAAAAATTATGTCTTTGTCCTCCCCCTAACTTCCTGAGATCAATTCTCTTTTATCTTCACTGGTTCTACTACCTTCCACCCACAAAATAAGACTGTGCACATGACTCTCTCCTTTGCTCTCCACCTTTATTGATTTCTACACATGTATTTTCCTGAGACAGTTGGACTTCAAGTACAGGACAACCAGGTTTCCTAAAGCACATAAATAGTGTTAAAGCTCCAGAACACTATTTCTGTATTTAATTCTTCATTTCCAATGCCTGGTTAATATTTCTCCATCTGGGTTGTCTCTACGGCGTAGCAGGTAATGCTGCCACCAGCAGTGCCAGCATTCCACATGGGTACTGGTTCCAGCGCCTGCTGCTCCACTTCCAATCCAGCTGCCTGCTAATGTGCCTGGGAAAGTAGCAGAAGATGGGCCAAGTGCTTGAGCCCCTGCACCTACGTGGGAGACCCAAAAGAAGCTCCCAGCTCCTGGCTTCATTCTGGCCCAAGCTGGCCAATGTGACCATCTGGGGAGTGAACTAGTAGATGGCAGATGCATTTTCATTCTCTCTCTCTCTCTCTCTCTCTCTCTCTCTTTCTCTTCCCCTCTCTCTCTTCCTCTCTCTCTCCCTCTCTCTCCCCCCTATCTCCGTAATTCTGACTTTGAAAATAAACAAATAAACTTTAAAAAAAAACTGAATATTCACAAGCTTCGATAAATTTTAAGATATGAAGTCATTACTAATATATTCATTGATTTTTATATAAATAATGCAAAAATATGAGTTTATATTATTCAGGTATAAAACTTTCAAGTTAAAAATTTATATTATAAATTTATTTAAAATGATATTGTAAAGAAGCTAGTTACCTTTCTCAAGGCAGGGCAGAAATTAAAGTAAAGTCTGTGGTTATGTGTTTTGAATCTTTCAGGAAGATGCCAGTTCTGAATTATTTCTTCATCAGAAATTACATAGTGATCCAATGCTTTGAGAGGCCATATACTGTTAACAAGAACATGTCTATATCCTTTTTTAAGGCTTACTGGACAATCAAACATAGTGAGGGCAATGAGGTTTGGACAGGCAGATAATTCACATGCGTTCTTTAACTTTGTAAAACCATTGTCATGAAGATAGAGGAGTTTTAGATTTTTCATTCCACTCCAAAACTTGGCATCTGGTAGAATCTTTATCTGAAATATGATTAAAAATGCATAACTTTTAGATAAATTGCATGGGAAATGATAGTGATTAAATATCTTTTAAAATTCAGTATTTCCCAAAGGGCAAATGTCTAATCATAAGCAAAAAACACATTTCCAATTGTTCAAATGATGACTGGGGGAAAATCATAATACACCAGGCATCTGGAATAAGCTATTATTGCATAAACATATACATTTTGTTCAGGGTAAATTCCTTTGTTAATAGGCTCTTCAATTTTTTCCAAAATACTTTCCTAACATGAAGAATGAAGAAGTCAACCAGTAGTCTTAATACTGACTATGGATTTAAGCAATATTAGGCAGTTTTCATATTTTTTTATTTTAAAATTTGTATTTACATTTTAAATTTTTTCTTTTCATACATTTTACCTTTTTAATTTTTTGTTTATAAGTTAAACAAAGGTCTATCTGGGAGAAATATTACGGATAAATAACATGCTTATTACATATCAATATATGATTAATTTATATACATATTTCTTAATGACTTACTTCTTACCTGATTTCCATGGAGATCAAGTTTGATCAATTTTGAACAACTTTGAAGTGGATGAATATCTGTAATAAAATTGTTTGAGAAAATACATACTCTTAGAGAGATACAAGACTGCAAATTTTCCATAGATTTTAAATGAAGGCCATTGAACTTTACAAAAACAAAATCCTTTTGGTCTTCTATTATGTTATCATTGTAGTGACTCCATTCCTCATGACTGGTTAGCTCTTCTGTAACTGTTCCATGAAACATCTGGGACAGATGGGAAACTGCTTTCAAAAACCTATCTGAAAACAAAAGAAAATAAAAATATAGTAAGTATAAAAATGGTTAGGAAAGTTAAAATTCAAAAAGATAAACTAATGCCTATAGAATTTTCTATGCCTAAGTATCTTAAATATGTAACATCTATACAATTACTTCTCAAAATGTATCACTGACCTTATAATAATGATGGTAAAAACCTTACTTTTTCATAGATTATCTAAAGAACATGGAATTCCCAAAGCACTTAAATTCTTAAATATGTTTTAAAGCAAATCCCAAGGGGAAAATTGAATTAACTACAAAATATAGAAAAATAAGCAGTTTGGAAATATAATTTGATGTAATATTAACACTTTAATGAAAGCATTCCTAGTTAACAAATTATGCTTAATTCTACTATCTAGATTCCCTATTTCTCTCTCTCTCTCTCTCTCTCTCTCTCTCTCTCTTGTGTAATCCTCTTGGGAAAATCATTGGTTTAGTTGATTCTCATTTCTCCTCCACGACCGTATCCCCATATTAGTGATTATATATTTATTTGTTACCATTTAATATACTTCTTTTACAGTAAATTAAATATATGCTGAAAATAGGAAATGCTTCATGTATTTTTTCAAATTTTATCATAAAACTGAGAACTCAGTAATATTTGTTTCTTTTTTTTCAGATTTATTTATTTATTTGAAAAATCAATATCATCAAAATGTCCATTCTCCCAAAAGCAATTTACAGATTCAATGGGATACCAATCAAAATACCAAAGACATTCTTCTCAGACCTGGAAAAAATGATGATGAAATTCATATGGAGACACAGGAGACCTCAAATAGCTAAAGCAATCTTGTACAACAAAAACAAAGCTGGAGGCATCACAATACCAGATTTCAGGACATACTACAGGGCAGTTGTTATCAAAACAGCATGGTACTGGTACAGAAACAGATGGATAGACCAATGGAACAGAATAGAAACACCAGAAATCAATATAAACATCTACAGCCAACTTATATTTGATCAAGGATCTAAAACCAATTGCTGGAATAAGGACAGTCTATTCAATAAATGGCTCTGGGAAAACTGGATTTCCACATGCAGAAGCATGAAGCAAGACCCCTACCTTAAACCTTACACAAAAATCCACTCCACATGGATTAAAGACCCAAATCTATGACCTGACACCATCAAATTATTAGAGAACATTGGAGAAACCCTGCAAGATTTAGGCACAGGCAAAGACTTCTTGGAAAAGATCCCAGAAGCACAGGCAGTCAAAGCCAAAATTAACAATTGGGATTAGATCAAATTGAGAAGTTTCTGTACTGCAAAAGAAACAGTCAGGAAAGTGAAGAGGCAACCGACAGAATGGGAACAAATATTTGCTAGCTACACAACAGATAAAGGGTTAATAACCAGAATCTACAAAGAGATCAAGAAACTCTACAATAACAAAACCAACAACCCACTTAAGAGATGGGCCAAGGACCTCAATAGATATTTTTCAAAAGAGGAAATCCAAAGGGCCAACAGGCACATGAAAAAATGCTCAGGATCACTAGCAATCAGGAAAATGCAAATCAAAACCACAATGAGGTTTTACCTCACCCCGTTAGAATGGCTCTCATACAGAAAGCTACCAGCAACAGATGCTGGAGAGGATGTGGGGAAAAAGGGACACTAACCCACTGTTGGTGGGAATGCAAACTGGTCAAGCCACTATGGAAGTCAGTCTGGAGATTCCTCAGAAACCTGAATATAACCCTACATACAACCCAGCCATCCCACTCCTTGGAATTTACCCAAAGGAAATTAAATTGGCAAACAAAAAAAGCTGTCTGCACATTAATGTTTATTGCAGCTCAATTCACAATAGCTAAGACCTGGAATCAACACAATGCCCATCAACAGTAGACTTGATAAAGAAATTATGGGACATGTACTCTATAGAATACTATGCAGCAGTCAAAAACAATGAAACCCGGTCATTTGCAACATAATGGAGGAATCTGGAAAACATCATGCTGAGTGAATTAAGCCAGTCCCAGAGGGACAAATATCATATGTTTTCCCTGATCAGTGAAAACTAATCGAGCACCAGAAAGGAAACTGGTTGAAGTGAAATGGACACTATGAGAAACAGTGACTTGATCAGCCCTTGTCCTGACGGTTGATGTACAATTTAATACTTTATCCCTTTGAGTAATTTTTTTGTTCTACTTAATATTATTGGTTGAACTCTGTAATTAACACACAATTATTCTTAGGTGTTTAAATTTAACTGAAAAGTTTCCTCTGTTAAATATAAGAGTGGGAATAAGAGAGGGAGGAGATGTACAGTTCTGCACATGCTCAATCTGACTTGCCCCAAATGGTAGAGTTATAAATGTGCCAGGGGATTCCAATTCAATCCCATCAAGGTGACATGTACCAATGCCATCTCACCAGTCCAAGTGATCAATTTCAGTTCACAATTGATCATAATGATAGGTTTAATAGTCAAGGGGATCACATAAACAAGACTAGTCTGCTAATACTAACTGATAGAATAAAAAAGGGAGAGAACGATCCAACATGAGATACACAGCAGACTCATAGAATGGCAGATGTCCTAAACAGCACTCTGGCCTCAGAATCAGCCCTTCAGGCATTCGGATCCGGCTGAAGAGCCCATGAGAGTGTTTTAGGCATAGAAAGCCAAGATACTCTGGCAAAATAATAATAATAACAACAACAACAACAACAACCTAAATGAAAGATCTCTGGAAGTGAGATCCCAGTGGAAAGAATGGGCCATCAAAGAAGGAGGTACCTTTCTCTGAACAAGGAGAGAACTTCCACTTGACTATGACCTTGTCTAAATAAGATTGGAGTCAGCGAACTCAAAAGGCTTCCATAGCCTTGGCAACTCATGACTAGGGCCTAGGGCGATTACAGATGCCATAAACAAGAGTGTCAATTTGTTAAGTCAACAACAGGAATCACTGTGTACTTAGTCCTCATGTAGGATCTCTATCCTTAATGTGTCGTTCAATGTGAATTAATGCTATAACTAGTACTCAAACAGTATTTTACACTTTACGTTTCTGTGTTGGTTCAAACTGTTGAAATCTTCACTTAATATATACTAAATTGATCTTCTGTATATAAAGCTAATTGAAAATGAATCTTGATGCAAATGGAATGGGAGAGGGAGTGGGAGATGGGAGGGTTGTGGTTGGGAGGGAAGTTATGGGGGGGCATTGTAATCCATAAAATAAGCTTTACTTTGGAAATTTTTTTAAATAAAATTTAAAATAAAAAGAAAGTAAAAGATAGAAATCAACTAGCTCAAATAAACTATGTGCCAGGTTAAATCAACCTAATGAAAATGAAAAAAAAAAAAAAAAAAGAAAGAAAGTCGGGGTTATGCAGTGAGAGGAGAGTCAGAGAGAGTGAGAAAAGTTTTCCATCCCCTGGTTCTCTCCCCAATTGGCCACAACGGCCAGAGCTGCACCAATCCAAAGCCAGGAGCCTGGAGCTTCTTCTGGGTCTCCCACATGGGTGCACGGGCCCAAGGACTTGGGCCATCTTCCACTGCTTTTCCAGGCCATAGCAAATAGATGGATCCGAAGTGGAACAGCCGGGATATGAACTGGCGCCCATATGGGATGCCAGCACTGCAAGCAGCAGCTTTACCCACCACACCACAGCACCAGCCCCAGTAATATTTGTTTCATACGTATATCTGGCTATCTTTTCCTGTCCTCAGAGACACAGCAAATTTAAAAGACTTGTAAGTACAAATGACAAAGTCTCATTTAGGTGGCTATCTCTTATTAACTTACCGATTTAAAACCTCTTGTCTTAAAATAACTTTCAGGTTTTCTCCAAAGATTTTATTGGCTTACTCATTTGAAGCAGGCAGTTCTCTCCCAGATATTGGCTGACGCCTCAGTCTCCTATTGCTCAACTAAACTGGCATGTCCCATGTGGCCCATTCATATAAATGATGGATAGATAAGGACAGCTGGAAGGTGAGATTCAGTTGAAATAAAGGGGCCTTTTTCTCCGTATCATCTTGGTCTTCCCATGCCAATTAACCACGTGGGCCTACAATAAGCCAGACAGTCTACATATTTGATTCATGGCTTCCCCACATGTAAAGCAGAGGCTTAGGAGCAACTGATAGAGCATCATCTCTAACATGTTCTATTGGTTTGAATTTATCTGATTTTTAGAGCAGCTTACAAAGTAGGTAGAAAAAGAATACAATCAAAAAAATTTTTCAGAGCTTAGTGACCTCAAGCAAGTTATACATGCTGTATCTCAGTTTCCTTATCTGTAAATTGAGGGTCGCAATGGAAATTAACTCACAGAATTATTATGAAGGAAATTATTATGACATAAAACCATCAGGCATTCTTCATTTCTGTTAGATCCCTTAGCATATTTATAGGTTTTTGCTTGTTTTTATTTATTTGAAAAATACAGTGACAGAGTTGAGGTCAGGGAGAGACAAAAATATCTTCCATCCTCTGGTTCATTTTCAAAGTGCTTGCAACAGTCAGGATGGAACCAGTCCAAAATCAGGAGATAGGAATGCAATTCAGGTTTCCTATACAGGTGGCAAGAACCCAAATACTTGGTCTTTCATTTGCTGCCTCCCAGGGTGCATATTAGCAGGAAGCTAATGGCCTAATCCTGAATAATAAAAAACATAACAGAATATATATATATATATTATAATATATATCAGGGGTAGGGAAACTGTATTCTACCAAGAGTCATTTGTATATCTATACCATAATTCATGGATCATACAAAATTATTAACTTATAATTAGCCTGTTATAGGTTTATTGAATTTTGAGTCCTTTCTGCAGTTGACTTAGGAGGTCTAATGATTTCAAAGGCCTTATATAGTTGGTAGACTAGAGGTTCCCCATCACTGAAATGGAAACATAAGAAGAAAAATAAATAAAAGACAAAGGAACTGTGGTATTATTGGAAGCAATAGTGACTGAGAGTTTCCCCAAATTAA